GAGGATCACTTGAGACCAGAAGGTAGAGACCAGCCTTGGCAATATAGTGAGACCTCGTCAGATTTTTTCTTTTTCTTGTTGAGAAAAATATATTGCCCAGGCCGGTCTCAAACTCCTGGGCCTCATAAAATGACAGGATTACAGGCGTGGGCTATTGCACCGGGCCTTGAAGCCGTTGTTCTTTCACGGATCGGAGTGAACAAGACTATCAGCCATCAGCTGTGGGAAAGTGGAATAAAAGGCCAGCATCTGGCCGGGCGCAGTGGCCCACGCCTGCAATCCCAGTACTTTGGGAGGCCCAGTTGGGAGGATCACCTGAGGTCAGGAGTTCAAGACCAGCCTGACTAACAGGGAGAAACCCATGTCTACGAAAAATACAAAATTAGCCAGATGTGGTGGCGCATGCCTGTAATCCCAGCTACTCAGGAGGCTGAAGCAGGAGAATCGCTTGAACTGGGGAGGCAGAGGTTGTGGTGAGCCGAGATTTCGCCATTGCATTCCAGTCTGGGCAACAAGAGCGAAACTCTGTCATTGTCCCCCTGCCCCCCCGCCCACGCCAAAAAAAAAAAAAAAATATATATATATATATATACCGGTATCCCTGGAGAGTGAATCCAGTAATCCTGATGCCGGCCTGTTCTCTGGAGGCGCTGCCACCTGGTGGAGGGTGGGGCCATGCAGGGCCCTGGAGACGGAAGGAAGCTCAAGCCAAAGTTGGACTGTGGAGCATTTGGTTGTGATTGAATAGTGGGGACAACCAGGTCCGTGAATCATTTCTGAGACAAAGAATAGGGCCTCAGGGGGTCTGAGTCTGGCCTTGTCATCTGTAGGAATCTTAGTGATATGGGAAGGGAGGTCCTTGCTGTGCCCAGTTCCAGCGCCCAGCAGGGTAGGGAAATGGTTCCACCTTATCTGGTTTGCAGGCACACAGAGCTGAAGTCAGTTCAACGTTGTCACCTGACAGCTGCGAACAGCCTCGTCTGTGTCCAGCTCAGCACGAGTTTTGCTCCTATTTCAGCCCGAGGTTTCAGTAAATGTAAAATAATGAGGCCGGGCACAGTGATGGGCACCCCGTGGTCCCAGCCACTTGAGCGGCTGAGCTGCGAGAATCGCTTGAACCCACGAGTTTGCAGCTGCGCTGCTGCACTGCAGCCCGGGCAACAGAGTTAGACTGTCTCAAAAAAAAAAAAAAAAAAAAAAGGATAAAAGCTTTCTTCATTGTTTTCTTGTCCTTAGTGAGAGCAGTGAGTGTCTTGGATGTGTTCTTTGCTTTCTGTCCCTGCCTGGTGTTATTTTGTGGCTGAGCCTGAGAAGGCTGCTGTGGAAAACTCTCAAATTCG